ATCAGAAGCATAACGGGCAAATAGTGTTGATGGCTTAAAGCTCCCATGTCATGCTTTTCCGGTTATTACCCGTCCCCTTGTGTGTTATGAAGGTTTTTATGCATGTAAACGGTGTGCAGAGTCAAAACCCTCAAAGTACACCCTGTAGCGAGTAAAACTCTAACACAGAAAATACCTCCCCAAAACGCCTCGTTGGAGATACGTCACTGCCCATTTGAGTCTTCCATTTAGTTCCGGGTACCGCCTGATGTCATGCGGTACCCGGAACGAAATGGACCAATCCCGAAGAGCTATGGCCACACCAGCAGCGGCGTGTTCCTCCTCCAGAGGTTCGAAGAACCGGCATTTCACAGACGAAAGCTTCCAAAACATTGCCCAGTTTGAGGCCGGATATGCACAGCTTGTTTGGACCGTTTGGAGCAGGGGAAGATCTGGGTATACAACCTGTAAGTTTGCATTGTTATTTGTGTATTTATCAAACAAGACTGTTTAAATGTGTAAACTGTGTTGGACTGCTAAGCCATTGACACAGTGCTAACTGTGCTAACTAAGTTGCTAGAGTTTCCATATATCAACTCTAATATCAGCAGATGGCCTTGCATACATGTATCTCATAGCAGGAGAATGTCTGCATTCACACACACAGAATTCTCATACAGTATACTGTACTGTGATTTACCGTACATTGTGACCGTACATATACTGCATGTAGCTAACGAGGCTAGCTGTATGCTAGCGCAAAACAATGTATTCATGCAAGTTACATTGTATGGTAGCAGAATACCCGTATACGATTGCAATTATAAACACGTTATTGCTAGCCTAATATGAACCACTAGCTTTTGTTCATAGTAGTTTTATTACACTGCATTATAGTTGCCTTTCCTCCAAGCTAACGTTCATATCGTGTTAGCTACCAAGGTAAACAAAGCTAGGTTAGCATATTAGCAGGCAAGCTGTTCATTACACAACTACTACTAACGAATGTAAAACAACTAAGTTTCTCTAATATTTTGTGATTTGCATTTGATTTCGTCCAGCCAGATCCTGGCGGACAATCCATGACGTGCTAAAAGGCACTTCTACTACTACTGAGGCGTCGTGCTAAAAGGCACCGCACCGACTGTGCGCAGGCAAGATGCAAGGAGGAGGAATGGATGATATACCGTGTATATATGTATATTTATGTTCATTTTGTACATTTCTAAAAATAAAGTTTAATGGAAATACTTAGTAGGCCTATCCTTTCTTCCCTGAATTCATATATAGCAAACCATGATTTGATTTCTCATCAAACAGTAGTAGTTTATAACGGGTAAAAATAACTTACTCTTTGTTATGAGCGGCTCGTAGGCCACAAAGACAAGGAGACATACACGAGTTTACAAAACCACGGCACATTTATTGTGGTAAATGCAGATAGGTGGTTGAGAGGATCGCAGAGTTAGTCTTCCTGCAGCCGCTTTGGAGAAAGCTGGGGCCGTAGTGTCCGGAGGTGTCCGTGATCGTGCTGATTAGCCTCTTCAGCTCCACCCCATCGTAAGACAAAGGCCCTGGGGCCGTCACACTCTTCTATAACAACAGTTAAAAATATATATGTATATAAAATATACGGCTGTGCTGACGCCATGATAAGACTGATGTTACGCTGAGAGCAGCCGGGAAAAGCACTGTTAGACATGGGCGCAGCCTCTCTGGTGGTTGACTAATCAGAACGAGTGGCCGAGCTGACCAATCGGAGCACACTAGGCTCACAGGGAGGGGGGGGGGCAAGAGCTCCAACGAGTCGTTTAGTGGAGAAAGTGAATACTGCTGAATACACATGCTTGACAGAGATGCTGTATGCGAAACCAATGTGAGTTTGGAAAATTGCACAGTATAAATCTATTTTAGTATACCTCAACAATGTAATTATGATCAGTGGAAATGGCCATGACATGGGCCCTTTAATACATGTTCACCTGTTGAGCGCCATGAAATAATCTGAGTGGAAAACTAAACAAGCTGGTTTTCATGAAAGGTGAGAGGTTTGATGTTGATAAGGAAACAAAGTGTGTAGACAAAGAACATTGGCCTCACACATGTACTATAGGATTATAGCTCAAAACACCATGATGTAAGCCTTCTATAGTCACCAGCATGGCTTACTTTTACATGTGAAAGCATGCCTGCCATTTTTTTATTAATTACTAACCTTGTGTTACCGTGAATTCTCAGAGAAAATGTTGTTGTTGTTCTTTTCTTGTTGGGAGGCAAGCATGAGTCGGTAGTGGCTTAAGTGCTATAAACAGAGGTGAGAGAAGTACTCAGATATTATACTTAAGTAAAAGTAGAAGTACTGAAGTGTAGGAATACTCTGTTACGGTCTAAATAAAATAATGGTCCGGCAATCAAAATGTTACTCAAGTAAAAGTACAAAAGTATTAGCATCTAAATATATTAGTAGCCAAAGTAAAAGTAGCCATTGTTCAGAATAATATACATGATATGATTTGATTATAATTATTGATGCATTAGTGCAGGGCTTCTCAAACTCCGGACCAAGGTCCGCATCCGGACCGAACTGCAAATCAATCCGGACCGAACCCTGTAAAAAAATAATAAAAAAATAAAAACGTTCTGATTCTGATGTAAATTAGATTGCTTTGTTGGAGGGTAAGGAGAAACGGGAGATGTCTGAGAAATGAGCGGAATTTGCGCTCTCTTTTCCTCTCTCCCTCTCTCTCTCCCCCTCTCTCCCTCCCCTGACAGCCTGTCAGTATCTCATGCAGCTCACTGATCCAGTCATGAGTGACCCGACAGTGAAGAATAAACATATGTATAACTAGTTTAGCTAGTTCCAGAGGTAGATAAAATAGCTAAGTGTGTTAGGTCTAACTAGATGTGTGTGTAACGAGATGTGTGTGTGTTGCTCCGCTCACCGGTCCATCACAGCGGATCGGTCCGTCAAAGCTGCAGGATTTCTGCTTCACACACGTTGCATACCGCTATTTTATTGTCTTTTTCGGACACCTTAAAATACTGCCAGACTAGTGAAGCCATTTTGGCGAGCTTGTTTTGCCAGGCACAGAGAAGAGTGTCATATATTTTACGTCATGTGAACGGCTCTCCTGATCGGCCTTTATAGATCGGCCGATCGATCGGAGCTTCCCTAAAATTAATGTATATTTTCTTGTGTCTGACGCGTTGTGAGAATGAACGTGCATATACATTTACTTGTGTGCGCGAGCGTGACACACATTGCAGACCGCAAGTTTAACTTGACTTTCTAATGCTCCCATAAAACATTGGTAGCATTCGGGAGGGGGGGGGGGGGGGGGTGGGGCGAGGGAGTTTTTCCCCAATCAGAAGCGCAGCGTCATTGTTATGATATTTTCCTGCACACGTTATTGCGAATGCTGGTAGCATGTCGTTCTCAAAGTTCGCAAAGCAAAGGAAAGTTGATCAAGAGAACAGAGAATTCAAAGAAGAATGGACAGAGAAATATGCATTTATTCTCCCACAGTCCAGCACCAAACCAATGTGCTTGATTTGCACAGAAACCGTGGCCATCATAAAGAGTGGTAATGTGAAACGCCACGATGAATCGAAGCACAGCTATTTTGAGCGGCAGTATCCCCAGAACACAGAGGTGAGGACAGCAAAACGTACTAAGTTAAAATCTTCGTATCAAGCTACAAACAGTCTGTTTGTCAGATCTATGTCAATGCAAGAGAGAGTAAATGAAGCCTCACTCAGAGTGGCCTGGGTTTTGGGCAAGCACAAAAAGCCCTTTTCTGATTCAGAAGTAGTGTTGGAGCAGAACACCTCTGCTACGCGCCGTTCGTTGGATGAGGCTGGATCTCTATTAAATTAAGAAAGGAATTGAAAACACCGGAATCAAAGTTATAACAAATTATCTGAGTTTACTTCTGGTAGGAAACCAAACACATATACAAGTTATACAGAGTACTCGAGTACTCCGGACTTCAGGTTTGTGATGCGATGCGGACACAGATGTCGGGACCGGCCACTCAGCAAACCAGAAGCATTTTACACTCAAAAACAACAGTATACATATCCCTATTTTGGGGCGGAGATGTGTCGACTCTTCCTTCCCATTTTCCTCCCAAGCGAATCAGAGTTCCGTGAGGAGGAGCTGTGTAAGCTGATCACCTCCCCCAAGTGTCCTGACTGGCTGGATTCACTTCTGGTCGGGTTCAATAGTTCTTCACCAGAACTTGAAATTCCAAAGTTCCCTAAGGTCAAAAGTCAACCCCTATCTCCGATTCGAATCTTAACTCCATTCCTTTCCCATGAGTTCTTCACATAAACTATCCTCCTTCAGACATTTAAACCTTTCTGCATCTATTTAACCATGTCTTTAATGACCTTAAAAAACAACATCTGTTCTTAGGGGTGATAAGGACATGTGTGTGTATAACACAAGATCTCTGGGTCAGTGAGTTTAAAAGTGAGAATAACATTCCTATTCTAAGTGATTATCAAAACCCGTTGTGTTTACCTAAAACAGTTCAAACAATACATGTTCACTAAAATACAATTCAAAATAATACATGTTTACTTCAATACAGTGTAGAATCATATCTTTTTACTTCAGTAGTGAAGGAGTGCATGACTGAAGTAACTGAGGCTTTGTTGGAGGGTAAGGAGAAACAGGAGATGTCTGAGAAAATTAAGCAGATACCCTTATGTAAGGGACTGAGAGGCAGAGTAGTGGGAGGCACCTACATTCCCAATAGGTGGCTCCACCCGCTGCCAATTAGCAGTATTGGGACCAGGTGTGGAGACCTCACACCTGGTGCTAATCACTCCCTCAAGGGAGACAAAGCACACAGAGTTGCTCAGTTGTGTGTGGCACATGGAGGGAGCAGGAGGCTCCCAGCGTGAGGAAACATTTTTGTAAGCTGGTAAGTCGGTTAGCGGCCCGGCTACGTTAGCCTTTGTTTAGTTAAAGGTATTTTTGAGTTGTTAGCAATAAAGCCTTTTTTTGGATTTGAACACTGCCTCTGTCGTGATTGCTGCACTACCACTTTTCTCTTTATCTGCCCTGTCCTGTTACACTGGTGGAGAATGCGGGCATAAAGACTCTATTGGTGGTGTTGCAGTCAGAACAATTTTTTTTTTTTACGTTTTCAAGATGGAGGATGTACTAAAGGAGTTGGTGCGTATTTCTACTGAGCAGCAGACTCTGCAACGGCAGATGATACAGGAGCAGCAGAAACAGAATGCACTTCTCCACATGGAGGTCCAAAAATGCCTTACAGCAGCCTCTCCTGTCCAGAGGGAAGCAACCATGCAGCCTAACCCAGGTCGATTCATCCCCAAAATGACAGAGAGTGATGAGATAGAGGCCTACTTAACGGCCTTTGAGCGCACAGCTGAAAGAGAGGGCTGGCCAAGGGACTCCTGGGCTGATCTGGTTGGACCGTTCCTCCTGGGCCCGGCACAGCAAGCTTACTTCGACCTCCCTCCGGACCAAGCAAAGGATTACGTCGTCTTGAAGAAGGAAATCCTGGCGAGGTATGGCTACAGCTTAGCAGCAAGAGCCCAGCGGTTCCATGAATGGAAATACAAGCCAGAGTTGTCAGCCAGGGCCCAGATGTATGACCTAGGCCGGGTAACCAGAGCCTGGCTGACATGCAACCCCGAAAAGTTAAGTGTTTTAGAGAGGATAATGATGGACAAATATATTCGGTCTCTGCCCTATGAGATCAAGAAAATGACAAGCCAGCAGAATCCAGCCGGTCTGGATGAGTTGGTTAACGTAGTGGAGAGCCACGTGGTCACAGCGGACCTGCTTAAGTCCACACGACCAGACACCGAGTGGGGCCGGAAAGTCAGTGGGGAAGCATCACGGACTAGACGGGCACGAGAACCGCGATGGGAACCAGAAGAGGTAAGGCGACGACAGTCCTACCTGCCAGAGGGCCAACCGCGTTGCTACCAGTGTGGGGAGACAGGCCATATTGCCCGGGACTGCCCAGGGAAGGATGAGCTAATGCCGACCGCCAACTCATCTGGTGCAAGGCCCTGCCACCTTCTTGACTCTTGCTGGGTACAGGAAAGCTCCCTGGCTCAAATGATACCAGTCAAAGTAAATGGAAAAGATGCAGAGGCGCTAGTGGACTCAGGAAGTGTGGTAACCCTCATTCAACCCCACCTCCTCGACCATTTGCCATCTGAAGAGACTGTGCCCGTCTCCTGTGTCCATGGGGACACTAAATTATACCCCACTTGCCTCATCCACCTTACCACAGTTAAAGGCAGCTGTGAGATGAAAGTGGGGGTGGTTCCTTCCCTACCAGTCCCAGTCTTGGTGGGGCGAGACTGCCCACTATACAAGCGCCTGCGGCACCAGAAGGAGGTGAGTCCCAAAAAGCACAAGCGTGCCAAAGGAAAACGAGAGAGAGGACAAACTGCCACCCAGGGTACTTCTCCTCAGCAGTTCCCCAACGTTGTGTGTGCTGTGCCGGAGGAGCAGAGAGGCAACCAATCTTCCAGTGCAGACGAGGCAAATGATAACCCTTTTGTTGCTTTCCCTGGAGACCTAAGCACAGGTCATGAGGAGGGGGAAGTCTCATTGCTTCCAAGTTTGAAGGGCCAGTTCGGGACCGCCCAGATGGAAGACCCCAATCTGTTGCATGCACGCAGCAATGTTACGGAAATAGAGGGAAAACCAGTTCCAGGAGTGGGTGAGCTTACATGTCCTCATTTCCTAATAAAAAATAATCTGTTATACTATGCCAAAGAGGTTGAAGGTCAGCGAAGAGACTTGTTGGTTGTCCCAAAACAATATGTGTCCACAGTGTTGCATCTGGCTCACAGCCATGTCCTAGGGGCCCACCTAGGGGTTGAGAAGACAAGGCAGCGGATTGGGAGCCGGTTCCACTGGCCAGGGGTGGTAAGGGCTATAGAGGATTATTGTCGCACCTGTGTTGAATGTCAAAAGATGAGTCCCAAGCCACACTTTAAAAGTCCCCTAATACCTCTACCGATAATCGATGTACCGTTTTCTCGCATTGCCATGGACTTAGTGGGGCCGCTGGTGAAGTCTGCCAGGGGACATCAGTATATTCTTGTGATCCTTGACTATGCAACCAGGTACCCGGAGGCCATTCCCTTGAGGAACATGACAACGAGAGTGATTGCACGGGAGCTGCTTCACCTGTTCAGTCGAGTTGGGATTCCTAAAGAGATGCTAACAGACCAAGGCACTCCCTTCATGTCCAAGATAATGAAGGATCTCTGCAGGCTCTTCAAGGTAAAGCAGCTTCGTACATCTGTCTACCATCCGCAGACAGACGGATTGGTAGAACGCTTTAACAAGACGTTGAAATCCATGTTAAAGAAGGTTGTTGACAAGGATGGTCGTAACTGGGACCAGCTTCTGCCCTATGTCCTGTTTTCAATCAGGGAAGTTCCACAGGCTTCAACCGGTTTCTCCCCCTTCGAGCTGCTGTATGGCCGACAGCCCAGAGGACTTCTCGACATCGCGAAGGAAGCCTGGGAGGAGCAACCAAGCCCCCATCGGAGCCTGATTGAGCATGTAGAGACGATGCAGACGCATATGAAAGATGTTTGGCCCATGGTCAGAGAGCACATGGCTCAAGCCCAAGAAGCCCAGAGGAAAGTGTATAACAGAGGTGCCCAACCACGTGAGTTCCTGCCCGGGGATAAAGTGCTTCTCCTGGTCCCCACCACAGAACACAGATTCCTGGCATCGTGGCAAGGTCCCTATGAAGTGACAGAGAAGGTGGGACCAGTCAACTACAAGGTACGCCAACCTGGCCGTCGCAAACCATCCCAAATATACCATGTTAACCTGTTAAAGAAATGGTATGCCCGAGAGGCACTGCTGTGTTCTTGTTCCCTGTTTGTATCCCCTTCTCCAGACCATGAGGTGGCCGAAGTTGAATACGGTCCAGGGCTATCCAAAGCTCAGTTACAGCAAACCAAGGAACTGGTTCAGCAGAGTTTGGATGTGTTCTCACTACGACCTGGACGCACAACGATGGTGGAACATCAAATCCACACAGAGCCTGGCCAAAAGGTAAAGATGCGACCCTACCGGGTGCCGGAGGCAAGACGGGCGGCCATTGAGCAAGAAGTGCAGAAAATGCTGGCTATGGGGGTGATTGAAGAATCTCACAGTGAGTGGACCAGCCCTGTCGTTCTGGTTCCTAAGCCAGACAAAACCAACAGGTTTTGTAATGATTTCAGAAAATTGAATGAAATCTCCAAGTTTGATGCGTATCCTATGCCCAGGATAGATGAGCTAATTGATCGGCTTGGGGAAGCCAGGTATATCAGCACTCTGGACTTGACGAAAGGGTATTGGCAGGTCCCACTTGAAGCTGCCTCAAGAGAGAAGACGGCCTTCGCCACCCCCACAGGGCTGTACCAGTACACTGTGCTTCCCTTCGGGCTTCATGGAGCACCAGCCACGTTCCAGAGACTGATGGACAAGGTTCTGAGGCCACATCGTGAGTATGCAGCTGCCTATTTGGATGACGTTGTTATCCACAGTGACTCATGGGATAGCCATCTCATAAGGCTTGCAGCAGTGCTGGAATCTCTCCGCAGGGCGGGCTTGACAGCTAATCCAAGAAAATGCAAGCTTGGACTAGAGGAAGCCGAATACCTGGGCTTCACCATTGGGCGGGGCAACGTTAGACCACAAGAAAGGAAGGTTCAGGCGATCCAGGACTGGCCACGGCCGTCAACAAAGAAACAGGTGAAAACATTCTTGGGTCTGACGTCCTATTATTGCCGTTTCATCCCAAACTTCTCCACAGTAGCCTCTCCCCTTACAGACCTGACCAGAGACTCACAGCCGCTAATGGTCAAGTGGACAGGAGAGGCTGAACACGCCTTTGAGGAACTTAAGAGGGCTCTCTGCGCACGGCCGGTGTTGGTGACCCCAGACTTCAGCCGGGGGATGATTGTGCAGACGGATGCGTCAGAGGTGGGCATAGGAGCAGTACTATCCCAGGAGGTTCACGGTGAGGAACACCCCGTCATGTACATCAGCCGGAAGCTGAACACAAGGGAACAAGTGTATGCTACTGTGGAGAAAGAAGGCCTAGCAATAAAATGGGCGCTTGAGCGCCTCCGGTATTACCTCTTGGGACGTCACTTCACTCTGGTAACTGATCATGCCCCACTGATCTGGATGGCAAATAAAAAAGACACAAACGCTAAAGTAGGAAGGTGGTTTGTCTCACTACAGGAGTTTAACTTCTCTATCATCCACAGAGCCGGAGCCAAGCATGGGAATGCAGATGCCCTGTCCCGTAGAGATGCCCTGTGGACCATGGTCACCTCTCCTAGGCCAGAACTGAAGGGGGGGGTGTGTAAGGGACTGAGAGGCAGAGTAGTGAGAGGCACCTACATTCCCAATAGGTGGCTCCACCCGCTGCCAATTAGCAGTATTGGGACCAGGTGTGGAGACCTCACACCTGGTGCTAATCACTCCCTCAAGGGAGACAAAGCACACAGAGTTGCTCAGTTGTGTGTGGCACATGGAGGGAGCAGGAGGCTCCCAGCGTGAGGAAACATTTTTGTAAGCTGGTAAGTCGGTTAGCGGCCCGGCTACGTTAGCCTTTGTTTAGTTAAAGGTATTTTTGAGTTTGTTAGCAATAAAGCCTTTTTTTGGATTTGAACACTGCCTCTGTCGTGATTGCTGCACTACCACTTTTCTCTTTATCTGCCCTGTCCTGTTACACTTATCAAACTCCACTACAACCAGGAGAACTGAATTACTTGCAAAAGACCTGGTGACACAGCTGACGGATGACATAAAAAATGCAGAGTGCATTTCATTGGCTGTTGATGAATCAACTGACAGCACTGACAACGCCCAGCTAAGCGTCTTCGTTAGGTATTACAGTGAGGCAAAGGGAACATTTTGTGAGGACATATTAGGCCTCAAAACCCTCCATGGCCACACCAGGGGAGAGGACATTTATGAAGCCATCATGCAGATGCTGAATGAAATGGGAATTGACCTCAAGACTGTGGTGTCCATTGCAACTGATGGAGCTCCAGCCATGATTGGGAGAGAGAAGGGAGCTGTTCAGCGCCTGAAAGAGCACCATCCAGACCTGCTGTCATACCACTGCATCATTCACCAGTCAGTGCTGTGTGCCAATCTTGGAAAAGAATACTCAGATGTCATGGAGACAATTATGAAGCTTGTGAACTACCTCTCCTCAGCCCTTCAGCACCGCCTTTTGCGTGCATTTCTGACAGAGGTCAATGCAGCTTATGATGACATTCTCCTTCATAACAACGTGAGGTGGCTGAGTAAGGGAAGGGTTCTGGAGCGATTTTGGGCCATCAGGAAAGACCTGCAGATGTTTTTGTCTGAGCAGAAAAATGCCAAAGCCAAACAGTACCTTGATTTTCTGCAGGATGATGAAAAGATGGAATGTGTGGCCTTTTTGGTGGATGTGACATCTCATCTAAATGAGCTCAGCCTCAAACTCCAAGGCCAAGGCAACACGGTGTGTGACCTTATGTCAGCAATACGTTCTTTCCAAAGAAAGTTGGAGATCTTCAGGAGTGACATAACAGAGGCACATCTCCACTTTCCAACACTATTGGAGCAAACTAATGGTAATCACCATCACACTCATGTTGCATTCCTGGAGAGGCTGGCTGAGAATTTTCAAAAACGTTTTGATGATTTCAGTCTTGGTAAGCAAGTCCTGCTCTGTATTGGATCTCCATTTCTGGTGAAGAATGTTCAAGAATTCTCAAGAGAGGCACAGAGCATCTTCCCGTGGGCAAATGTTTCAACTCTGCAAACTGAGCTCATAGATCTCCAGGAGAATGTTGCTCTGAAGGAAGTGGACTGACCCTGTGACATTCTGGACAAAGATGGCTACTGCAGCAAATGTCCCCCACCTTCAGAAGGTGGCCATTTATTTGATCACCATGTTCGGTTCAACATATTGCTGTGAGTCTGGATTTTCCACAATGAACATTGTGAAAAACTCATACCGCAGCAGTTTGACAAATGAACACTTGGGTCAGTGCCTCCGCCTGGCTATCACACCTTTTGTGCCGAGGTTCAAGGCATTGGCTACAGGCAAACAGTGCCATTTCTCCCACTAGCTCAATACAATGTATGTATTGAATGTGTGTGTGTATATGTTATGGATGTTGATTTATGTCACGCACTTTACTGGCGTTGTTCCGGACCAGTGACCTTGTTTAAAATTCACAAGTGGACCTTCAATAAAAAAGTTTGAGTACCCCTGCATTAGTGTTATCAAAGCTGTAGCTAGTTTTAATGACTTTGTATACTGCAGGGTAGCTTATTAATTTACTCCAGATGTAACTAAAGTCTTATTTAAGTGTTACACACATGGAATAGTAAAAAAACTAATAATTATTAGCCTTAGAGAAATATAAATTATACTTAAATAAAAACCATGTAAAGGCTTCACTTACAGTATACTTCCATTTATTCAGACCCTCTGCGTGTTCTTCAGAAATCTAATGTAACATGAGGTGAGTCATTGTGATACAAAAAAGTCATTTCCAGGGTGAGGTATGAATGGTTGTGAACATGCATTTTATCAGATTTTCACAGCATATACAGAGTACATAAACTCACAATGGTGTTACTTCTATATTACATTACATCACATTGCATTTAGTTGACGCTTTTATCCAAAGCGACTTACAATAAGTGCATTCGACCAAGAAGATACAAACTTGAAGCAAACAGAATCATATAAGTACATCAGGTTTCATAGAGCCAAAACATTTCAAGTGCTACTCAACTGGATTTAGATAAGCTAGTCCTTTGTTAGTATATAAGTGCTCTGTTAGCAGTTCTTTGTTAGTAATTCTATCTTCTATGGACTCTTTACTTGTTAACACAAATATACAGTCACTCCTCTATTGAATTAAGGATGGGAGGTGCGAGAATGGGCTACAGAGGTAACAATATCCAACACTGCCAAAACACAGACAAGCAGAATTTAAAATATGGTCATAGTCTTTATGTTAATTTTGGCTGAAAAGTAGGGAATTTCAACATGGAGTTTTGGTATGTCTGCTTAAGCTTCATTCTTTTCAGATTTAAATGTAACAGGTTTTACATGAGACCTGATACATTTCACTAATACTTATGACCAATACCTGTTAAACTGAAGACATTGCAATCAGCCTCATCTTGGCAACCTCAAGATTTATGCTTTTGCATTTAAGCTTGCATCATTAAAATGTGGCTCCTACACTAAGGAACATATTTACCCAAAAACTTCTAGGAAATAATCCTAAATACATTTAAACTATGACTAAATCAGATATTTTCATTGTTATCGTACTATGTGAAGATGAGATATAATTTGAAATATTTGGAAATAAAAAAGTGTATAACTCAAACATTCCCCTTTGTGTAAGCATTATAGATGCCTGGTAGAAACAAAACAAAAAAAGTTATTCAAAAATAATATGTACAGAAGGAAACAAAATATGCTACAATATGAGTTTTAGGTTAGAGAGTCAAGGAAAAATTGAACTAATCCAGGAAATAAATCAGCCCAAGGATTTCTCCCTGCCCTGACTTTACCTTTGCCCCTGATCATTTCCTGTTCCTCCCAGAATCTGTCCCATCAAATTAGCAGCCTGTTTGTTTTCTCAAAAAATAACTTCTGCTGAAGCATAAGCTATACATACTGAAGTGTATATTAACTAATGACCCTTAACCCCGACCTCCCCATATGTGCAGCTCCAACTTTGACATTTCTTAAAATCGTTACAAGGGTCTGTCTCTTCCAATTTCACTGCATACTTAAATCAATAGTCCACAACCTTGGGGTGTTGAATACCAAACAACCAATTCAGAACACAGCAGTTTGGATGACTGGAGCATTATCTCCGTTGGGGCTCTTTATAGAAAGAGGGGAGTACAGGATGACTGAGTCCTGTACTCACAGGGAGTACAGGACTCATTTAATTTAAAATCACAAAATGTTAGCATGTGGTGGAGGAAAAGTTATCAGGAGGAAGCTAGAGTAGCGAACACAATGTCTGCGCAGCCAAGAAGCAGCAGCTCCTTCAGCGTCTTCACAGGATGGGTTCAGACCATAGACTTTATAAAGTATGGACGTTGTTTCAGTGACATCACCCATAGGTTCCTGAAGAACTGCAGTGAGGGTCAACATTAGTGCGTCTGGTTGTCACCGTCTTGGCAGTGATCTCTTTGTTTGTTTACTAGACTGAATAATATAATCGTATTAATTCTGGATACTTAGTCCAATGTTGCAGCTCTGATGTTCTGTGCATCAGGGTTAGGGTTAGCTGAGTTATCTTCCCTGATCACCCATTGCAGACCGTTCGCATGCTGCAATATCTCGGTGTCACAGCCTCCCCGCTCAGAGCAGACTGGGATAAACGGGATATTATTAGACTTGTTTTTCTGGCATTTATATGAGGCCTGGAGGTTAGCGGCCTCTCCACAGGAGGCTCAACGTTTGGACTTCCACAGTTTTCTCTCGACTGATTTTCTGCTACTGTTGCATACATAATGAAACACAGCACTCAGATTTGATCTCCTATGGAAATAGCTTACCCTTTTGCATGCAAACATTTGAACGATGAAGCCTTTATGAACATTGCAGCCAAGAGGTATCGGCTCTCTGTGCGACAAATATTGTTCTTGTGTAAGTCCCTTTCCTTTGTATGACCTTGAATCAAAAACTCTTACATTTTAAGAGAAGAAATGTGCAGTGTGATGAGGAGTGTTTTTGTGCAATAAAGCTTTATTTATATAGCACTTTTCATACAACACATGCAGCTCAAAGTGCTTTACAAAATGACACATCACAACTTAAAAACAAACAACAAGAAATTCCCCTCAGATTATTTGTTAAGAAGGTACATGCAGCAAAATATTACATTTTATCAGGTTGATAGACACAAGGAGGTAAAATGTATGATAATAAAAATAAAATGAAATAAATAATGGCTTCTCTCTGACAGATAAGACACAAGACAACTGAGTCGATGCAACAATATAAAATATAAAACAAAGTGAACATAAAGGTACAACAAAAAGAAAAAGATTAAGACCTATAATAAATAAAACAATATAAAGTTAGGTAAATATTAAAGAATAAAAGAACATTTAAAGTCGGGGGTTGCTAATAAAAAGCTAATCTAAAAAGATGTGTCTTTAGCTGTCCACTGAGTTGGCCTCTGATATTTCCTGGTAGGGTGTTCCACAGTTTGGGAGCATAGTGGATAAAAGCAGCCTCACCCATTTTATTTTGGGGTTATTTAAAAAGCCAGCTGAAGAGGACCTCAGGGTTCGTCCAGGGACATAAAACGAGAGTGACTGTGTGAGATAAGTGGGTGCCAA